AGAAAGCTGTCCAAGATGCAAAGTTTCAAGATGGGAGATGGATAAGCACAGTAATGAGATAAAGGTCGGGATTTCGGCAAAGGTCCTTAGATATTTTCCAATCAAGGATAGGTTTAGGAGGATGTTTATATCAAAAAAGATGGCTGAAGATCTGCGTTGGCACTATACAAATGCCACTGAAGATGGTACAATTCAATACCCCGTTGATTCTATATCTTGGGCACAAGTGAATGATAAATGACCACACTTTGCTGTTGATCCAAGGAATCTTCGACTTGGGATTTCTACTGATGGGATGAATCCTTTCTCCATGCAAAGCACCAATCACAGCACATGGCCAGTGTTGTTAGTGAACTATAACACGCCTCCAACCATGTGTATGAAGGCTGAGAATATAATGTTGACTTTGTTGATCCCTGGTCCAACAGCTCCTAGTAATAACATCGATGTTTACCTAGCACCACTGATAGACGATCTAAAAGATTTGTGGGCTGAGGGTATTGAAGTTTATGACTCTTTTTCAAAGGAGAATTTCAAACTAAGAGCCTTGCTGCTTTGGAGTATCAGTGACTATCCAGCCTTAGGAACACTGTCTGGATGTAAAGTAAAGGGGAAACAAGCCTGCAATGTATGTGGAAAGGATACACCTGCAAGGTGGCTTAAGTTTAGCCGCAAGTTTGTCTACATGGGAAACAGAAAGAGACTAAAGCTTGGTTTGACAACACTGTGGAGGAAGGGAATGCAAATAGGATACAAACAGGCGCTGAGATTTATGAGACACTGCAAGCTTTTATGACTGATTTTGGTAGACCTCTAGAGAAGGAAAAAAAAAGGGAAAATACTAGAGTTAGAAGATGATGAGAGGGTTGAAGAAGAAGAGTGTGCAGAATCAAATGAACTATGGCGGTGGAAGAAGAGATCAATATTCTTTGAACTACCTTACTGGAAGGTAAAGTATAGTAATTGACCTTTATTATATGATTATTGTATATGAATATGCTTAACAATTTCTTGCTTAATGTGTTAGGAGTTACTTGTTCGTCACAATATTGATGTTATGCACGTGGAAAAAAATGTGTCTGATGCTATATTGGCTCTCTTAATGCAAAGTGCGAAGTCTAAAGATGGGTTGAAAGCAAGAAAATACTTGGAAGATATTGGAATCCGAAAGCACTTGCACACAGAGGTGAGGGGAAAGAAAACATACTTACCTCCAGCTGCCTACTGCTTATCAAAGAAAGAGAAGATCATTTTCTTCCAAAGGTTAGCTAAGTTTAGAGGTCCTGATGGTTATTGTGGTAATATTGCAAACAGTGTTTCAGTTAACCCTCCAAATATTGGTAGTTTAAAGTCGCATGATCATCATGTCCTACTACAAAACTTGTTACCAGCTGCATTAAGAGGGTTGTTACATAGGAGTCCTAGGATAGCCATAAATAGATTATGCAGTTACTTCAACAGGTTGTGTCAGCGCATCATTGATCCGGAGAAACTTATATCCATGGAGTCAGAGTTTGTGGAAACAATGTGTCAACTGGAGCGGTTCTTCCCTCCAACTCTTTTTGATATCATGTTCCATCTTCCAATACATCTATCAAAAGAGGCACGCTTGGGAGGACCAGTACACTTCCGCTGGATGTATCCCATCGAAAGGTTTGATGTACTCATTTGCTTCAACGTATGTATTTCCTGCAATGATGTTTGACTAATATTCATATTTCCTGACTGAGTTATAGGTACATGAAAACGCTAAAGGCTTTTGTTAAGAATTATGCAAGGCCAGAAGCATGTATGGCTGAGGCGTATTTAGCTGGAGAATGTGTTGCATATTTTTTAGAGTTCCTTAAAGATTCATTACCAGTTCAAGAAGCTGTTAATCGTAATGAAGATGTTGAGTCTGACAGAATGGTGGTTGAAGGCCGACCTCTGCAGAAGGGTATAGAGGTTACCCTTTCAAATAAAGATAGAGACATTGCACATCGTTATGTGCTAATGAACATGGCATATTTGGATCCCTTTGTTCAGTAAGTTATGCTCTATGTTTCATCTACTAGTTTTACTTATAATTTTATTTTCATATACTGTTGCTTAATTTAAAATCAGGATGCATTTGGAAGAGTTACAAGCTAAGGATGCTCGATTTGCTAGAAATGAAACTTTGTTATGGAAAAACCACACTGAGCACTTTGCAGAATGGCTTAAAAAAAGGTTAAGATCATCATCTTCTTTTCTTGATTAATATTGTGAATATTGTTATGATCATCATCTGCTTTTCTTGATTAATATTGTCAATATTGGTTATGATAAAAAAAAAGGATGCTGGACTTGATGATCATGTTCTGATTTCCTGCGGCAGGTTCATTCAGACTCAACAGAGTGTCATTCTAAAGAGATAAGGTGGTTGGCATATGGACCAAGAAATGTTGCTTTAGCACATAAAGGATTCATCATTAATGGGCAACGGTTTCATACTTATGCGGTCAAGCTAAAGACACAAAACAGTGGAGTTACTTATGAAGCCTTTAGCATGTGTAGATCAAGTGCTCGAGATATGAGACAGGTCGCTGATATGCTTACATACTATGGAGTGAAAAAGGAGATTTTACTCATCAACTATCACATGTTCAAAGTGCCACTGTTTAGATGCAATTGGGCAAACACAGGGAATGGTGTGAAGGAAGAAGATGGCTTCACTCTTGTTAACCTTCATATGAACCAAGCAGCCTATTTGAAAGATCCATTCATTCTACCTTCTCAAGCGAAACAGGTTTTCTACTCTAGGGAGGATGATAATTCAAACTGGTATGTTGTTATGAGAGCACCACCTAGAGGTTATCATGAATTGGAAACAGAAAAGGATTTAGGTGGTGCACCTTTGCCTGTCCAAGAAGTTGATGATGTGGATGATGAAGCTTCGGATGATGAGAGTGTTTATGTTAGGGATGTTATAATGTTGTGTTATGGGTTTTTAAATAAATATTTATTTTTTTGGATTTTTTAATAATTTAAATTGTTTCTATTAATAATTTCTGAATTAAATATACAAAAAAATAAAATAAAATCAATTTTTTAATATTATTAATAAATATTCAGATAATTTAAAAACTAATTAATAACACGTAACGATTGCTTCTTTGCTCTCGGAATTTTCTTTATTATTAAGTTATAATAACATTTTTACAACGTTATTATAAGTATTAACAATTGCGTATAAAAACGCGCTATTGTTGTACGCTAACTTATAGCACAGAGAAAACTGCTATTAAAAAGGCCGGACCTATTATAACGGGCGATGTCAGAGCGGACAAGAAAGCGCTATTATAAATGAATAATAGCATTTTCCGTCCACTATTACTACCCACATTTCCTGTAGTGAAAACAAAGATAACGGTGAGAATGCGGTATAGGAAGAAGCGCCAATGACCCCAAAGGTCAAAGGAAAGCCAAGAGGAACAGAGAAGCCGAGCCCGAATCGTCACCTCCAGCTCCAAAGAAAAGAGTTGATATGATCCCATGGGGATCCGCACATAAGAAGACAATAGATCAAGCCACGGGACAGATAAACATCTATGTCACTGTGCCTGTCCGAGATTTAGGAAAGTTCGATAAGACTCTTTCTCCCCCTTCGACCAACTGGATACCACTTTGGACGAGGAGAGGACAACAAATTCGGCAAGGCAAGATCCGACAGCTTTTGGAAAAACCGATACATAAGAAGAGACACAGCCTGCGTCTACTCAAACACAACCTGTCCGGGGGGGGGGGGACAAGGACACCACCTGCCGACTTTAACCAAAAAGTGGTACTTCCTTGCATTTCGCTAGAAGAAGGGAAAAATAATTGACTTCGTTAATAGAGGATCAAAATTCTGCAACTCAGTCAACTCCATCAAAGCGCACCAACGAAGAGCAGAAAATAGCATCGACGTACGAAAACCTCTATCAGGCCCCGATCATGAGATTACTTTCGACGAGAAAGAAACTGTCCACCTTGACAAGCCACACAATGACACAATCGTTATACTATTCGATGTTGGAGGATGTGAGCTATCCCGGATCATGATCGACACCGGAAGCTCTGCAGATGTACTCTTTTACGACACGTTCAAAAAGATGGGATTCACCAAAACTCTCCTCAATCAAGAGAGGACCCTACTACTCGGATTTGCAGGAGATACCACCTACTCCATCAGATCCATGAACTCGCCGTAACCGCCGGAGATATAAGAAAGATCGTCACAGATCAACCTGCCCCGTTTAAAGCCATCCTCGGAAGACCATGGCTATACAACATGAAGGCGGTACCATCAACCTATCACCAATGCTAAAATTCCCTACGCTAAAAGAAAGCGGAACTATAAGGGGAAGCCAGAAGAATTCCAGAACCTACTACCTCGCAAGCTTCAAAGTCATCGAGCCACATCCATAAGATTGAACAAATGATCTCAAGAGAACCAAGAACCATACACATGTACACGAGCAAACCGAAAAACACGACCCTGCTTACCGGGGAAATAATCAAACTACGTTTAGACTTGATCCCTCGACGAGGGTATGTAGGCAGCTCACGACCTGAGTTTAGTCACTCATCACAAACTAACTCCCCTTACAAAGGGATCAAATTCGGGTAGAAGCAACCCATCCATGTCGATATAGTGTTCTTCTTTCATATAAAATGCGAAGTTGTATACAAAGAATCACGTGATAATAAATAAAAATAAATTCTCATTCCCATAACTCGATTTAGTTGCATGAAAAAAGCCTGATCAAATCTTCAGAAACAGTTAAGAATCCCACCAAAACACGGCGCACCATGATAATAAAATTATTACTACCCAAACACAACTCATCGACACGGCATTTATCGGAATCGATCTACGATCTCGAAACATAAACAAATCGAAAAAAACTCACGATTGTTTATTAATTTGCTAAAAAAGAAAAGAACATCAGAAGATAAAAAAGCCATTAAAAAAAAAAGAGGAACTTCGATAGAAAAGTTGCCACATTCTGTCGTCGCATATATATATATAACTTTTTACAGAACTGTCGTTTATTCAAAATCACACTAGTAGAAACATTATCGATACGTGGCTAGTCTATACAAGTATGGGGAGCTTTAGATCCATTGCCAAGTCTAAAGGGCTACATCAATCGATTTCCTTTACAGACTTGTTTTATTCATTACTAATATTAAGCATGCATGGAAGTAACGTGCATAAAGTACCCAATTGGTAACAGTCACTGCCCTTTCCGATTTAATGTCTTCGGTTACCAGTGCCACTACCACCACCACCACCTCCCCCTCCTCCTGCACCGCCTCCAGCTCCCACTCCTCCACCAGCTCCAACTCCTACACCAACATTTGCTCCGCCTCCTACACCACCGCCGACTCCTCCTCCACCCCCTAGACCACCACCACCACCAGCTCCTCCTCCTGCACCACCACCACCACCAGCTCCTCCTCCTGCACCGCCTCCAACTCCTCCCCCAGCTCCAACTCCTACACCACCTCCCACTCCTCCACCACCACCTATACCGCCGCCAAGTCCTCCACCTCCACCCCCTCCAACACCACTGCCAAGACCGCCTCCACCACCTCCAACTCCACCACCACCACCACCACCAGCCCCTACTCCGCCTCCAACACCTCCTCCAGCACCACCTCCCACAGCACCACCACCTCCACCGCCTACACCACCGCCAACTCCACCTCCTGCTCCTACACCACCGCCAACTCCACCTCCTACTCCTACACCACCACCAGCACCTCCACCACCACGGCCTCCTCCACCACCGCCGCCTCCTCCACCAACTCCACCACCAACTCCTCCTCCACCTCCTACTCCACCGCCAGCTCCACCGCTACCACGTCCACCACCACGGCCTCCTCCACCAACTCCACCACCAATTCCTCCTCCGGCTCCTACTCCACCGCTGCCACGACCTCCTCCACCAATACCACCACCTATACCTCCTCCAACACCCCCTCCGATAGCACCACCAGCACCACCTGCACCACCAGCACCACCTGCACCACCAGCACCACCTGCACCACCACCTATTCCACCTCCACCAAAGCCACCGGCACCACCACCTGCACCACCACCTACTCCACCTCCAGCACCACCACCTACTCCACCTCCAACACCACCTCCACCAAATCCACCAGCAGCACCACCTACTCCACCTCCGGCACCTCCACCACCAACACCTCCTCCAGCACCACCTCCACCGCCAACACTTCCACCAGAACCACCAGATCCACCACTACCCCGTCCACCACCAAGTCCTCCTCCACCAACACTGCCGCCTCCACCCCCACCAGCGCCTCCACCTACACCACCAGAAAATCCCCCTCCAACTCCAATGCCACCACCTCTACCTACACCTCCACCAGCACCACCACTACCATGTCCACCACCACCATGACCAGCACAGCTTCCTCCACTACGACCAGCACTGTCACTTTCACCTCCTCCACCACCACCTCCTTCTCCTCCTGATCCAATACCACCGCCTCCACCAGCACTACCACCACCGCCTATGCCTCCTCCCACTCCAATGCCACCTCCAGCACCACCTCCTGCTCCAATACTACCTCCAGCACCTCCACCTCTACCGTTTCTTTTGTTATTGTGATGTCGGTTTTCGCTATTGGCATGATCATCTATGCTAGATAATTTTCCCAACACTTGAGTCGACAGCAGTAACATAAACACACACGCCACTATCGAGCCCCTTCTCAAAAACATCCCCATAGTCTCTCTTTTCTCTCTCTCTCTCTCACTCTCTTAAATAAGTTAATATATACACACGAAACTCACTCAATTAAGATAGATTCCAAACAATATAAGATCGATCAGAACTACTTATTTGATTATACCTTGGCGAGAAACCCTATTTATAGCAAAACCTCCATCAACAGATACACACGTGTCTTTTAATCGGATATTCATGATAAAGATTAAAACCCCACTCAAGACTCGTAAACGCGTCTAGAGGCTCCTGGGTCGACATGAATAAGCAATATAGTCTTCTACAAGCACTAACATATTCATTAAAGCTGATAATGATGATCACTTATATAAATTTCATACACTATTTTCCTCTAGTTTTGTATCAGTGGTTTTTAGTTAGTGGAATATTATACGTGCCTCGTTTCACCTCTTGCCAATACGCTCTTCCATAAACCATCATGCTAATTTTAGTGTCACTTTTTCATTTTTTGGATTTTTATATCTTAGTTACAACTTACAAGGTCAAAAGGATTTCTGTTAATTATATGCAATGCGTGTCACACAAGGTTTCACACTACAAAAATTAAAGAGCATTCTTAAGAGGAAAATGTTTAAGAAATATTTTACATAAGTTTTATTATAATTTTTTTCTCTTATATATATATATATATATAAATATATATATTATAGTGAAATAGATTGGACCGAACTGATTTTCGTTACTAATTCTCTCAAATAGTTGAATATTTGAGATAATAATTCTGGTTTATCTCCATCACGGTTTGTGTACTGAAATATATAACTTTTTTCCAAACTAAAAGATACAGCAAACTCTAACGAGAACATTAGACTGAACTAATATTTCAAATGGGCGATTGTTATGAACCAATGCGAATCACCTTTGAAAAAAAAAAACTTAAGAGCAAAAACATATTAGCCGAATACCCATTTATGTTTTGTATATTATCATGTGAATAAATACATTTAAAATCTATTGACCTGTAATTATAGTAGTTTTTTATGAATACATATGTAATTTTCCTAAACCTAAAAAAACATATTGTACTTCGGAGCCTTCAGTCTCTGCAGTCCCATATGGCAACTTTGATAGCAAATTTATCTTTTTTGCACACACCACGCCGCATTTGGTGCACAAAGATTAATACTCGCAAAGATGAACAAATTCCACTTTGATGTATAATCTCTACAAGACTCTTTATCCCCATATATTTTCTGGGGGAATCTCCTTTGCTTCTTAGCATTGGCCAACATGGAACAAATTCAAGCAATGCTTAAAATTCTCCTCTGTAATAGGCTTGGTCAACATCCAATAAGACTTCTCTAGAAGCTACTAACTCCCTTACTTTGTGAAACCTTATAACAATGTGCTTCGTCCTTGCATGACAAACTTGATTCTTAGCTAAACAAAATGCACTTTGGCTACCACAGTGTAATTGAACACCTCCTCGATCAACACCCAACTCGGATACAAATTGTTGTATCCATACTGCTTCCTTAGTTGCTTCTCCAAGTACCATATATTCAGCTTTCGTGGTATTGACATCGCTACAATAAGTTGTTGTACTGATCCCGAAAATGTAGGTGCTCCTTCAAGTTTAAAAACTTACCAAGTACTCGACTTTTTATTGTCAAGAACTCCGCCATAATCTGAATCTATGAACCCCACAATTGAACCACACTTTTGACCTCCAAACATAAGCCCATAGTCACTAGTTCCTCGTAGGTATCTTAGAATTTAGTTGACAAAATACTTCTTCCAGGATTCGACATATACTTACTAACTTTACTAACTATTTGTGCTAGATCCAGTCTTGTACACACCATTGCGTACATTAAGCATCTAACCGCGCTAGCATAACGAACATGTGCCATATATCTGATCTCTTAAGCAAACCTTGAGCATTATTCTGCTGAAATTATGAAGTGCTTCGCAAAAGGTGTAGAAACTGATTTTGCCTTCCACATGTCATAACGTTCTTGGACCTTTAGAATGTAACTCTTTTGAGAAAGCCATAATCTCTTAGAATTCTTATCCCTGTGAATCTCCATTCCAAGAATCTTCTTTGTAGCACCAAGATCCTTCATCTCAGCATCTCCCAGTAACACTTTCAAATGATTTATATCCTCTATATCATTTGCAGCAATGAACATATTATCAACATATAACCAAATGAATATGGGAGAAAGATCATCAAGAAACTTAACAAGTTAACATAAACGCATCAATCATACTCACACCTTTGGTAGCCAATCTACAACATATATGAGTCAAAACGTTTGTACCATTTTGTTGGAGCATACTTCAAACCGTAGAGAGAGTTTTTCAATTTTCACACAAGATAATTTTATCCAGACTTAACAAAATATTTAGGTTTCTCCATATATATTTCCTCCTCGAAGTATCCATGAAGAAAAGCTGTCTTTATATATATTTTGTTCCAGATATAAATCCCATCTAGCTACCAAATCCAAAACAACTCGTATGCAAGTGTGTTAAGCTACATCCAAGAACATTTTGTCGTAGTTCATACATTTTCTTTGCGATTATCATTTTGCCACCAATCTTGATTTGAACTTTACTGGTTCTTTCTCAGTCATGCCTTGCCTTTTCTTTAAACCCACTTGCTACCTATGGACTTTTTCCCTTCATGTAATGCCACAAGATCCCAATTCTGATTTTTATCTAGACTTAATCCCTTCCTGATTCATCTCCATTAATAGCTTCCCGTAGTGAGTAGGATTATATGTTTCAACCACAAGAGCATATTTGACCATCTATTTAAAACCAAACCTTACATGAGGCTTATTGCATGTTTTGGTCTTCTAGTAGCTGCTCTCCTCGGTTCCATGTTGAACCTCTTTATTCCCTTGTTTGGCATACCACTCATCACTAACTACATCTGTTTTTTCTCCACCAGACTCTTCCTGAGATATTTCAGAATTTGTGTCAGTCTCAATGATCACATGCACTCGCGTTTGATTTCACATGTTCCACCATATTCTGCTCATCAAAGATCAGATCTCGACTAAACACCCTCTTCTTAGCCTCATCATTTCACAACTTGAAACTTTTAAAACCTTTCTCAAAGCCTAGAAATATGCATTTCTTGGATTACGAATCCAGCTTCAACCTCTTGTCTCCAAAAACTAGCATGTAAGCTGGACATCCAAATACTCTAAAGTTTGATGGATTGATATTTACCAGTCCATACTTATCCTCAAAACCCGATTTGATTTTCTCTTTTGGAATATATACTTATACTAGAATATGTAATTTTCCTAAACCTAAAAATACATACCATACTTACGAATGCTGGCATTTTATTTGTGCACAAAGATTTCAGACACTTCCAGAATTAACATGTATTAATTTTCTTATTCATTTTAAAACAAGAATAAAGAACAAATTTATTTAAATCGTCCTGCTCTTCGTCTACTTTGATATCGTGTTACTGCACGCTCTTTTGCATAATATGGAACGTTACCATGCACCGAAGTAACTTTTTTTTTTTCATTAATGTAAGTTCTCATTAGAAGAATGTAATATTTGCAGAATCGTAGGGTCTCCATTTTGTCAAAGTTTTTCACAGTGTGCTGCACATTTGGGTTTTCAGTTCTAGTTGGGTTGGGTTATTCAGGTTGGGTGTATATGACCTGTTAAAGAGCATAACATCTTTTAGATCAGATCGGTTTGCGTAATGATGGGTTCGGTTCAGGTTTCTATTTTTTTTTATAAAACCGAAACATAAACGAATTAGAAATAGTTCAGATTTTGTTCAGGTTTAAAACCGGAAAAATAAAAACTGAAAAACCCGAGTTAAACCCCTAAAACTGAATATATATTTTGGAATTTAGGTTCTTAAAATTAATTTTCGATATACAAAATAATTTTTAATATATAGTTATTTCAAAATTAATTATAATATGTAATATTTGATATATTTAGGATATTCAGGTACACAACCGGCTCTCTATTTAGTTATGTTTTGTGTGGATCCTAAATTCCACACTAAGTGTTTGGTGGTGTGATTGTTTGTAAAGATTAGAGAAGAAGATAACGTGAGGAACAATATCCTCAAAACACAAAGATGTAATGAGATTTCGGTTGACAAAAATGAAAATTTTATTTTAATAAGATTGAGATACAATGGAGGTTTACAAGAGATGGTTTGACAATGAATAAGATATAAGACAAGTAACCAAGAGAGTGAGATTGGGATTAAGGTCAAATGTGTAGTGTGTTCTCTCTATAGTTTTATACACATCCCCTTCTTTTCTTAGTCGTTTTCCTTTTATATTGGTTCTTCTCCACCTGTTTTCCTGAGATTTCCTCCTTATTTGGCTGGCCCCGTCATTCTAGGAACTTCTTTCTTTCGGTCTTATCATTGAAGGACATATTGTCGACTTGGTCTCTCCACTTATGCCAAGCTCAGGAGTACGCGTTCGACCTGTGAGTTTGAGATTGATTCCCCGAAGATACCTGTTTTAGACTCGACTTCGGAATCAAGGCTCAAGTCATTTATGGGCCTGCTTTGGGCCTTACTCGCATGTTATATCTACAATATTTGGGTCCAACAATTGTTCCCTAGTCAGTAATGATTTTTTTTTATTTAGGACAATGCCGTTTCGAAATGTTTTTCAAAATCTTTATTTGCCACGAATATAATGATGAAATTTTTATGATCACAATGCTTTCAATGATTCTGAATTATAAGCCCTAAGTTGTGTTCACCTTTTTTACACCTCATAACTCTTCGTTGATTATAATACTCAGCCGATAACTCCTACTAAGAGGAGAAAAAGTTCTCCTGAATCCGAGAAGATCCAAAGTAAAGGTGGAGCCGGAGGATCTGTAAGGATCCGTTATGGAGATGTGAATGATGCACTCACCGAGGCTTCAAGGGAAGAGACACTTCTCCCTCAAACGATAGTCAATTATAATAAGTCCTGTGATTGTGATGGGAACATCTTGCGCGACGTTACCCATGATAAGTCGAGTAGTTGATGTCTGCTCAAAAGTTTATTCCTAAGGAGAAACTTACTCTCTCAAGTAAGAGATCTATTGCAGTACTTA